GGGGTTTAGGGTTTAGGGTTTAGGGTTTAGGGTTTAGGGTTTGGGGTTTGGTTTAGGGTTTGGGGATTTCAGGGCTCGGGGTTTGCGACAGGGAGGCTAGGGCGGGTTTGGGGTGGGGTGGGGTTTTGGGTCATTCGGCATGAGGGTCGCTGGCAATTGCCCCCGCATACCCGCCAACCCCTTAAAGCATTAAGCTGCAGAACCCTGAATCATGAAGCTCCAACCCCTCAACCCTAAACCCCTAAACCCTAAACCCTAAACCCCTAAACCCTAAACCCCAAACCCCAAACCCTAAACCCTAAACCCTAAACCCTAAACCCTAAACCTCAACCCTGCTGCCAAAATAACGGCCCGTCACCCAACGCCCTAGGGTTGAGGGTTTAAGGTTTACGGGCCCCACCGGGTCGATGGTCTGGACCTCTAGGGTTCCGGGTTTAGGGTTTCGGGTTTAGGGTTTAGGGTTCCGGGTTTGCACGGGGCTTGAGGCGTACTGAGGAGTCTAGAGTCTGAGGCTTAAGGGTAGGGTTTGAGGGTTTAGGGCAAAGTGCTGAGGGCCGCACAATTGGTCTAGGGGATTGACGGGTTTAGGGTGTAGGGTTTAGGGTTTAAGGCATAGGGTGCGCCCCCGAAACCTTCAACCCGAAACACCAAACCCTCTTAAAAACCCTGAAGACAACCTGGCTGGTGCTTTCTAGGGAACGAGGGAATGTGGGCCCTATAGAATCCCTGAAAGGGTATAGAAAGGGCCCTCATTCCTTCATTCCCTCGAAGAACCAGGGGGAACAAACTCTTCACACGGTCACGGTGTAGCCCGCTGCGCACTGGAGGCAGTTGTATTCCCTGGCATCGCTTCTGGGGAATCTGGGGGTTCAGGGGCGCCTCTGGGCTTTGGGCTTTTGGGGTTGGGGTTTTAGGGTTTTAGGGTTTTAGGGTTTTAGGGTTTGAGGGTTTAGGGTTTAGGGTTTAGGGTTTAGGGTTTGGGTTTAAGGTTTAGGGTTTAGGGTTTAGGGTTTAGGGTTTAGGGTTTAGGGTTTAGGGTTTAGGGTTTAGGGTTTAGGGTTTAGGGTTTAGGGTTTAGGGTTTAGGTTAGGGTTTAGGGTTTAGGGTTTAGGGTTTAGGGTTTAGGGTTTAGGGTTTAGGGTTTAGGGTTTAGGGTTTAGGGTTTAGGGTTTAGGGTTTAGGGTTTAGGGTTCAGTGCTGAAGGCTTGCTTTTAAGCTACCCAAAATACCCATTCCTAGGCCCCAATCTCTAGAACCTGAACATACCCATGCTCCTCATTAAGTAGATCCGAATGAGCCTCTGCATTCTCATTGGAAAGACACTGTATGCAGGTTAGGGCATATTCAGGCAGAATCTTAGTATTTACCCCAGTCTTCCCTACTATTTGCTGCAAAAAAAAAGGTAAATATCCCTATAAGGAAGAATATCTTTTATTTCGGGAGGTTCTCGCGTAACTCGTAGTTCCAGAGCTCTTTTTGAAAGCATGGGTTGGCTTTTAGGTTCGAGGGGTGAGGATTTGGGACTTTGGGCTGAAGTCTTCAGGGTTTCGGCCACGTTTAGGGTTCGGGATTCAGGGTCGTGGGCTAAAGGTTGTGAGCTAAAGGTCCTAAACCTCAAAAAACGCAAAGCGTCAAACCCCAAAAGTTTGAAGCACTAAACCCTAAAAACCCGCAGGAACACCCACAAGCCCTAAAACCCTCAAGCCCTAGAAAACGTACAAACTCCAAGGAAACGAAGACTTTGCTATAAGGGCTGGCTCAGCGCCGGACGTAAGGCAAAGGAGGCAGTGAGCAAATTTGCAAATGATGGGCGGAGGCGCTGGCCTGAGATTTATGCTCATTTTAAGCTGTACCTTACAGGTTTCAGGGTTTGGGGTTGGAGGGTTATGTTTTCAGACCTTGGGGCTTAGGGGTCTCAAGCTTCGGGAGGTCCGCAGATCATCTTATGGGGCTTTAGACGTAGTGTTTAGGGCTTAGGGTTTAGTTCTTAGGTTTGGGGGTTTAGGATTTAGGGTTCGGGTTTAGGGTTTATAGGGCTATGGATGCAAATGACGCCCAGCTTCTCGCCCAACAGACCACCCCCAAACCGGGAACACTAACCCCAAAACCCTGACTGAACCCCTAAACACTCAGCATTTTGTGCCTTTAAAGCCAAGTTTGAAGGGAGATAACAAAAAAAAGATTCATAGAGGTTTGAGAGGTTTGGGTTCTGCCCGTGTATAGGGTTTTTGGTTGGACGCGTAGGGGTGCCGGGGCCCCTGGCTTAGAGCAGGAGGGTGGTGCACATGAAGGCTCACGCTCTCTCCCGACCCTCCCGACCCTGCGTCAGGGGTCATGGTGTTAAAATCTGTTGGACTTGGGGTTTCACGGCTCAGCTTAGGGTTTAGGCATTAGGAGAGTTTAGGGTTTAGGGCTTAGGATTTAGGATCTGCTGTAAAGGTTGGCTTGCAAAGGCCAGCAGCGAAACGCAACACGCAAACGTTGTCGGCTTCTACCGGCCCCTCAAGGTCCGAATGCTTGCTTCCGAGGACCGCTAGAATTCTGGCCCAAACCCTGCCATTCCCGTAATATCGAACCCTAATGTCGAGGAATGCTTTTGGCCTTTAGGGTCCACCCGGCTTTTGGGTTCAACGAGCCCCCAAAGCCTAAATCTGCGCGGAGTGGCGGGACATAGCGGCGTCGGTCATCGAAGCTTCGCCTCCGGTCATCCCAGGGGGACGGCGTCGGCCACGGCGATGGCGTCGGCCACGGCGATGGCGTCGGCGTCGGCCACGGCGAGGGCGTCGGCGTGGGCCATGGTGATGGGGAGCCTTCGGGTTCGACGTCTTGGGGGTTGAAGATTTTGGGGTCTCAAGTTGCTGAGGTGAGCAGGCTTCATCCAGCTCGTTAGGCTTTGGCGTGTTGGGCCGTAGGGCGCAGGCGTTAGAGCTCGGAGCTAGGGAATTTTGGGGTTGGCCATTTTGGCCAAGAGCTTCAAGCTTCCCCGCCGAGCTATCCCCACAGCTCGAGAATCCTCCATAATTTGGGAGCTCCGGGTTGAAGGTACTGAGGATCCTAAGATGATCTAAGGCATAAGCCCCAGCTAAGGGATGGTCCCTGGAGTTTCTAAACCCAGAGGGAACCAAAAGCGTTCTGGGAATTTTGGAGCCTGGGCTGGAAAAACTGAGGTCTCATCAGTTCTGCTTGTGTTTACGAACGCGGCTATAGCTGTACATACTTCCAATCCAACTATAACCCTAACTTAACCACAAAGCCTGAACTTTAATAACCAAAACCCTAAAGCAACTTAAACCTGAAGCCTGAAGCAGCGGTACCCTAAGCCCAACCTTAAGCCCAAAACCCCAAACCCAAAACCCCAAACCCTAAACCCCAAACCCTAAACCCCAAACCCTAAACCCCAAACCCTAAACCCCAAACCCCAAACCCCAAACCCAAACTTCACCCAGACCCGAAGGATCAAAAAACGCAAAGCGGCGGCGGCGCGGAGATGGCTGTGCCCCTGCAGCTTAAAGCTTGTCTGCCGAAGTTTAGGGTTTAGGGTTTAGGGTTTAGGGTTTAGGGTTTAGGCTTTAGGGTTTAGGGTTTAGGCTTTAGGCTTTAGGGTTTAGGGTTTAGGGTAGTGGCTGTGGGATTTAGGGTTTAGAGGCCAGACATGGGCGATGTAGGAGGGTGGGCTTTAGTGTGCAAGGTTTAGGGTTTATACCATCAGCGTGCCCTGGCGGAACTAAGAGCCCGTCAGCTGAGCAGTTTAGAGTTTCAACCTTAAACCCTAAACCCGAAACCCCAAACCCCAAACCCTGAACCTTAAACCTCAAACCCTGAACCCTAAAACCCTAAACCCTTGCGGGGGCAAGGTGAGAGGCAAATGCGTTGAAGCCATTCCGGCACCCGAAAACTCTTCGGTGCCAAGCAATGGAGACAGGCTGCTGGGGTGCTTTGGAGTGGCGAATGTTTCATTGCACGGGTTTAGGGTTTAGGGTTTAGGGTTTAGGGTTTAGGATTTAGGGTTAGGGTTTAGGGTTTTAGGGTTTAGGGTTTAGGGTATAAGGAAGAACAATCATCATCACCATCACCACCATCATCACCACCATCATCACCACCATCATCACCACCACCACCACCACCATCATCATCATCATCATCATCATCAGTTCTCGAGTAACAAGAACAGCAACACGGCAGCAACCAAAAGCAACAACCAGAACATCGTGGCCCTTATCAGTATCAAAAGCCCATACCCAAAAGAAAGTCCATCCCCCAGCTATCGTGTTGAGAATCTTCCCTGTTTACGGGACATGGGGAGCTTCGGTTCCCTCATCAAGGAGTATCTGAAAAGATTGCAAGACACCTAGGCCCAGCTCCTGGCCTCAGGCATTGAACTACGGAGATTCCAGGCCCTATACCCAAAACCCTAACGTCCCAAATCGTTAAACACCCCTACACCCTACAAGTCACAGCAGTCGGGATACGGACCTGCTTGGGCAATCAGCCAGAGCACCAGCACTGTGAATTGCCCTTTGAAAGCCATGGCGTCTATAGACCTACGCAGCCTTCTCAAAGTGTTTGAGGTGAATGACGGCATCTTCACTGAAAAATGGCCTGAGATCTTGCCATGTGGGAACATTTGAACAAAATCAACTGGACATCTGACATGGCCTTCGAAGTACATCTTCTTCATGGGTCCATGTGCGCTCTGCATGTTGTATGTCTTGCAACAATGTTTCCAACAAGCCAGGAGCCGTATCTGAGCCAGTGCTACAGCATCATCATGTCTGCTCGACAAGAAGTCAGGCAATGAGCATCTTGTCCGACTGTGTTTCCTGCATTGGCACCGTTAACAGCACTAACCAGCCAAGGAGGATAGAATGATGGCACGCTGGCGCTTGCAAGCAGCTTACAGTTTTGGAGACCTGGATACAGATTCAGGATGAACAGCCAATTTTTGCACCACAAAGCAAGGCCCTGCTCAAAAGTCCTGTACATTACCGCTGGTCAACTTGCTACACATCCAGATCAACTTCTTCTGGGATCTCGTAGCCTGCGCCTGCTCGTAGTGATCCAGCAGCCAGCCCTGCACGAAAGGTGTCTTCAAAACCTCCTCGCTTTTGCCGGCGCAGTACATCCCAAGTGCGCATCACACTGACGCGAGGTTCCTGCTGCAGAAGGTCAAGCATCCTGTCACAGCCTGCAGGCTCCCCGAAAGTGGAGAAACAGAGTCGGACGTCTGCAAGGCGTCCAGCCAGCACTTGCTGCACGAATTTGTGTGCTGGCAGTCCGCCGAAAGCACCGCAGCCCCAACGGCCAGTGGCTATTGCCGGCACCTGGCCATCAGCCTCTCGACCGCGCATTGTAGAATACGCCTGGAAGGCGGTGAAGGCCTTCCTTATGTCACGCAGCTGCTCCTGCTCTTCGAAGTGCCGATGCATGCAAGCGTCTATGGTCAAAATGTCGTGGATGACAGGCGCTTCCTGGTGGCTGCTTGCTTGCAGCAGGCCTGTGCATCGATACGTGTCCAAATAGCCCGAGTAGCTAGTATAGCGTCGGCAGCCATGCACGTTGACGACCTCATTGTCAGCCATCCGCCCCAAAAACAGAAGGCCCACGTTGAATTCCGGGCAGCACATCTGCAGAATTTCTTCCTGGGTCGCTGATGAGATGAAGCACCCATACCCAAACTCGGCATTGGCGAAGTTCACGAAGGCCCGACAGGTTCTATCTAGATGGATTGCATCCTCCATGGCAGCTTCATGCAGCTGGACCTGTGCAGCACCTTCAGCTTCAGCTTTCATTACTGGCTCTGCGTTTGTGGAAAGCATCATCTGAATCTCTGCAACGTCCGGACATTTCAGGCGGTGGAAGCACACCACGCGCTCGTCCTCGCCCCCATCTTCGCGCATTGCTTCAGCAAAATACAGGAGAAGGGATGCCTGCTTGTGGGCCGCCACACCACAGCCGGGCGCTTCCAAGGAGGCGGTGCGGACGTGCCGCCAGAAGTCCAATCCGCCCTGGTGGCGCTTGCTGTCTGACATGAGGTCCTGGGAGGTTCAGGGCACTCATGGCCCAACTATAGGTGCAGTGATTCAGTATAACCCACCCCTAAGCCCCTTAAGCACCCTAATCGGGTTATGATTGGGTTATACGTACAGCTATGATTGGGATACTAGAGGTACCATGAACCTCCAAGTCCTGCAAGTTGCCGAGCATGGCATTGGCCAGCAACCCCCTGCACTGTCGTGCAGAGAGCTCCCGCTGCGCACCCAGCGCCAGTGGCGACACGTCGGGTGGCGTGTCCATGGACTCCAGCGCCCAGCGTTTCACTGCTGGGAACAACTTCGCCTCTGGCAGCGCAGCGAAGAAGGGCAGCGAGAAAATGGCGTCGTAGGCCTTCTGCACTTCGGCCCTTGATACCCCTTCTAGCGGCGCGTCCGCAAAGCAGGTGAAAGCCTCCAACACTTCCCGCGGATGCCGGAACAGTGCCATGGCGCAGCACGCTGCCAAATTCTGCTTGCGTCCCGATATCTATAACCCCATAGATATACATATAGATATACATATAGATATAGATATAGATATAGATATAGATATAGATATAGATACAGATATAGATACAGATACAGATATAGATATAGATATAGATATAGATATAGATATAGATATAGATATAGATATAGATATAGATATAGATATAGATATAGATATAGATATAGATATAGATATAGATATAGATATAGATATGCATGTAGATATAGATATATACATATAACATATACATACATACATACATACATACATACATACATACATACATACATACATACATACATAAATATATATATATATATAAATGTACATACATGTTACTATACCCTCTTTTACGGGACACTGAACCCCAACGTGCGGGCAGGCAAGTGCCCTAGGGCTGCCCTGTGACAGTCAAAATATTTCTGCGCAATGGCTTGAAAAAACGAAACGCAACGATTGCAAACAAAAGTCGAGGCAATCGATTGCAAACCCTCAATAGCGGAGTGGAAGACATCGGACAAGGGCAAATGTTCAGGGATAGGGTTTAGGATTTAGGGTTTAGGTTCAAACATTTTCAAACAATCATGAGCTCTAAATCATGTGAGTTTTCCAACTGTCTTGAAGCACGGTACCCATTGAAAACCCTCTCAGATTCCCAACTGACAGAGCGTGGCACGCAGCACAGAACACAGAACTCCGCAGCTTGGGCAGGCTTAACGTCCATGGACCTGCGTCTATGCAAAGTTTCAGATAGGCTTTGTGCAGTCCTACTGCAACGGCTAACTGCCCAAGCAGCATTCGGAAAATAAGAAAGAAGCATGAAACCATCCGTGACAAACGCCAAGAACACCAAGAAGGCCACAGAGATGGAAGTTGCCGCTCTGAAATATAAAAGGTCGACTTTGCAAATGTTGGGTGCAAACACGCTGAAAATTCTCCAAGCTCCACGCGCTCGATCTCCGTTGCTGTTTTTTTGGCCTACACTGCATCTGCACAATCGCAATGTCAGTACTACACGGATGCAACCCAACCTAGAAAAGCAAGCTTGCCATCGCAACGCAATCGCATGGTCAGAGTCCTTGTGCATGCCACTCCACACCTGCACTCTTACACTTCGAAACATGTCCTTGCAGCAAGAGCGGCAAAAACTCTTTGGCGGGCGCGACCTTTAGAGCGGCAGAACCCTAAACTCGTCTAAAAGGCTGCCGCTCCAGAGATCATGCCTGGCAACTCTTTGTGTCCCCAGCACAAGTAGCTTGTACAGTAGATTTACGTATCAGGGCATGTTATGTCGGCCAGGTCACTGCCGGGTGGAAACCAAGCTGCGTAAGGTATCCTGCCGTGCAGCGTGGGTCCAAGGCCAAGGCCACTAGCAGCTAAGCCAGGAAAGAAACCAACCACTACCATTCCACTGGAAATACATGGCATCTAGGCTGTGGACAATGCGGACAAAGGGCGCCATATGTGAGCCTTGTCTTGTAAGGGACTTAGACTCTGAATTGAATAAAAGCACACTCGGACTATCCAGGCGAGACATGTGCTCCAAGGTCTGGTAATGAAGGGGCATGGTTCTTACCAATTTTGCGAAGGGGGCTTGAGCAAGGGGGGCTTCCTCGAATTCGAATTGGTCAGGGGGTCCGGGGGGGGGGGGGCGAACAATGAAGGCTTGAGAAGGGGCTTGAAGGGGGGCTTGAGAAGGGGGCTTCCTCAAATTCGAATTCAAGGGGGGCTTCAGAAGGGGCTTGAAGGGGGGCTGGAGAAAGAATTCTCGAAGGGGGCTTGAGAAAATTCGCAAGACTCTCGAATGATGCTTGAGGAAATTCGCAAGCCCCCCCCCCTTTCTCGAAGGGGGCTTGAGGAAATTCGGAAGCCCCCCCCCTTCTCGAAGGGGGCTTGAGGAAATTCGGAACCCCCCCCCCCTCCTTCCTCCCACTCCACAATAAGCAGAAAAAAAAACAGTCTCGTTTCTACTCCTCTCCCACTCCACAATAAGCAAATGGGGGGGGCTGCGCCTCCCCCAACCCCCCGCTTTCTACTTCTAGAAACAAAAGCAGTCTCGTCTCTACTCCTCTGATTTTCGATGAATGAAATACAAAACAAAACAAGATTCGGGGGGGTGGAATTTAGAATAAGGCCCCTTCTCTCTTCTCCCGTTCCTCCCACTCCACAATAAGCAAATGGGGGGGGCTGCGCCCCCCCCAACCCCCCCCGCTTTCTACTTCTAGAAACAAAAGCAGTCTCATCTCTACTCCTTTGATTTTCGAATAAAGAAATACAAAACAAAACAAAATTCGGGGGGGTGGAATTTAGAATAAGTCCCCTTCTCTCTTCTCCCTTCCTCCCACTCCACAATAAGCAAATGGGGGGGGGGGGCCCGCTTCCTACTTCTAGAAACAAAAGAGCTCGTCTCTAATCCTCTGATTTTCGAAGAATGAAATACAAAACAAAACAAGATTCGAGGGGGGTGGAATTTAGAATAAATTCCCTTCCCTCTTCTCTCTGCCTCCCACTCCACATTCTCATATCTCCCGTCCTCCCACTCCCTCGCCTCTGATTTAAAATAAAGCGCCTTCTCTCTTCTCCGCTTCCGCCCACTCCCCAGTACTGCGCCCCCCCCAACCAGCCTGCTCTTTACTTCTAGAAACAAAGACAGTCTCGTCTCTACTCCTCTGATTTCCGAATAATGAAACACAAACAAAACAAGATCCGAGGGGGTGGAATTTCGAAGAATCTCCCCTTCCTCCCACGCTGATGAGTGTGAAAGCCCAACTCCCCCTTCCCAGAAAGCTTCTCAAGCCCTCTTTGGGAGGGGGAAAGATTCCGAATTTTCTCAAGCCCTTCGAGAATTATTTCTCAAGCCCTTCAAGCCCCTTCCAAGCCCCCTTGAATTCCAAATTCAGAAAGCCCCCCTTTCTCAAGCCCCTTGAAGCCCCCTTTGAAGCCCCCTTCAAATTGGGGAGGGAAAGATTCCGAATTTTCTCAAACCCCCTTCGAGAATTATTTCTCAAGCCCCTCCTTCAAGCCCCTTCGAAGCCCCGTTGAATTCGAAATTAAGAAAGCCCCCCTTCTCAAGACCCCTTGAAGCCCCTTCGAAGCCCCCTTCTTTTTTTAAATCTTCAAAGCGGACGCCTCTGTACCACATCAGCAGCACAGTGGGCCGGTCTATTGCGACGAGGTGAAACGGCCTGGACTACCGGGAGCAAGCCAAACAGCACAGAACAACACACAACACACAAGAGAAAACAAAGCGGACGCAGTCCAATCCTAAGGTGAAACAAGAACACGAAGAGGTCGAAGTAGACCCGTTGTGGCTTGACTCGCGCTGTGTTTGGAGGGAGCACAGAGTGCGGTTCGCAAAAATGTGGTCGGTTCATGCTAGGTTGTTCCCCTCGCCCAGGTCCTTCATAGAGTCATTCCCTGCAAGCTGCTGAAGCTGGTTGGCGGGCTTTCCTGGCGAGGTGTCGGACGTCTCACTCCGGAAGAGGCGATTGCTCGGGTGCGAGGTGTCGGACGCCACCTCCCAGCAGAGAGTGTGGTGCCGTTGGGCTCATTGGTGAGCTTGGTCTCCGAAGTGATCGAGGTTTCATTCAGCTCCGCAAGTTGAGCTTTTGCCGCACGCCACAACGTCTTCGCGGTGTGGCTGGCCTCCTGATAACACAACCTTGCCGTTCCGCGACCAGCGCCTCGGGTGTCGAGTCGCCTGGCTTTTGGTTGAGAATACAGCTTGGACCATGCGGTTGAAAGGGTTTTTGATTTCTGTTCGCAGCGACAGCAAGGCTCTTGTGAGATGCCCAATGTGCCGTGACGGCATCGTCCCACTCCCTTTCTTGGGAGTTTTTTTTTTTGAGCGGACGCCCCTTTACCACATCAGCAGCACAGTGGGCCCCTTTCGGCCATGTTGAACGTAAGAGGAAGTTCTTTACCAGATATGATCACATAGGAGCACTTCACAACCGCCCAACACCTTGGTTCCAAGGTTGGCGCCCAGCTGCAGACCACTTATGTGGTATCAGCCCCCTGCTGTTAAACATAAGCCTTGGCTGCGTCCTAAGCGCTATGATCATGAAAAAGGCCTCCATATTTTTATCATCCCTCTGCGCTCCTGTACCATGTGCCGAGCTTTGGAGGAGCAGAAGCATTTCAGAGACGCTTTTCCCAGGTTGCAGCTACATCCAATGGAGCTCCCACCTTACAATGGGAAAAGTTTGTGCCCAACGATCAGGTCGGAACACAATTTCTCGTCGATATGCAAAAGCTGGCTCTTCAAGCCGACATTCCTGGTCTCGTTTTCATGGATCGCTTTGCTGAAGCCAATGCAGAATTGCTACGAGCAGAGAACGCCTTCCTTATAGGCCAAAAGGGCATCCCTCCGTTCCGTGTCGCCCATTATAAAGAAATGCTTTGGGATGCTGAATTGGATGCCTGGCTCAGTGATGTAGAGGAATATGTCAACGACATGTGCATTGCCTCCATTGTTGGAAATTGCTTCTACCCGGGTGCCCTTAAAGCCGCCATCAAGCATACATCACTACAAGAGCTGCTTCATGAAGATACACAACGCCATTGGAAGCCGCTGCCCTTCGATGAATTCCTGAAATGCTGGCAAACTTATGGACAGCAAATCTTGGCTGCCATTTCAGGCACGCGGTTCAGAAATCAGCTTTCACACAAGTTGATAGCGCCTTTCCCAAACAAGGAGCTGAATGACCCCAGCTGGTGGAAAAACGGACATGCCGTGAGTAAACCAGCTATACTGAACTACGTGCCTGGCCAGGGAAAATTCAAAGGGATTATTGAGCATGCCTCCGGCATCCCTAAGGGCATAACCTTCACACCGGAGGTGCACGCTTCCACCGAGCCGAAGACTTGTTGCGGGAAAGAGGAATTCCGCCTTCTGTACAGGCCTTCAATGCGTGGACCCTCAGCTACGTCTCCTGTGTGGGCAGAGACAGCCAGTTAAAGCAAGCTTTTGTAAGTCAATAGCCAACATGGGGGCCAAGATTGCTTTACAATTTCTGGACTCCCCAGCACGTGGCAACTGTATGCTCAGCTTTCTAAAGGACCTGCATCTGGACTTGATGACCTTCAGAACTGAATTCATTCCACAGTTCCTCCTCATAAAAGGACAGGGGGAAACTTTAAATGCACAGCACTGGAAAGAGGGGAATGCTCAAATTGGCTCCCCGCCTGTTGACCTCTTCTTGTATGTTGAACAAGATGAACATTGCGCAATTGCAATGCAATGTTGAGCGCAAAGGAGCCAGCCCTGGCACCTTCCTTCAGAGCGTTATAGACGCGAAAGTGCAATTCCCCAACTTCGCTTTGATTTTCGAGGGGAATGAACTTGCGGTGCACTTTTGTGGTCATACAGTGCCGTGTGGTCTTCACTTTGGACAACAAGAACTTCTTCAACTTTTTCTCACGCCTTTCTTTCCTAATACTTATGCCGCCAAGGTTTTGTCTCCAAAATGCAACTTAAGTGAGGAGTGGCTACGTGAGGTCCTGCGAGATTTCTCGTCCTCTGCCAAACTTGCCTCGCCTTGTAGAAGCAGTATGCCTCACCATCGATCTGGAAGGTGTTCAATACAGCATTTACAAGCAAGGCATAGTTCACAAGCACACCATGGCGCACAACAATACTTCCTCTGCACTCTCCATTCAAGAGAGAGCGCTGCGCATGTATGTCTACAATAGGCAACCCGCCGTCTTCATATGCTTTTATGGGGTCCACAAGGACCCTTTGCCCCCATGACGTCAATCCGTGACGTAGTGATCAAGGCAAGATCCATGATCTTCCTTGATCACGTGAATGCGTTTGTTGCCTACCGTAGACCTTATGCGCGCGTTAGATCCCTCAACAACATCCTTCTCGCTTACAACTTGCCACTCATTTACACCACCAGCCGTGAGTTGAAGTCAGCTCTTAGGGCCACTAATGGCCACTAATGCTACTGTGGAGGTCACTTCGGCTTCCCTACCTTTTTGGAGTTGATTTCTTGCCCTCTTTTTTGTGTCTCCAAATCCACACACTTTTCACCACCTGCACACTTCCACACTTGAACAGCCAGCAGAACCCAGCCGACATGCACGCAAACACACGAAGCCACTTTGCACCCACATAATGACACACACCCACACTCCACACACACGACTCTCTGACCCACAAACGCCGAAACTACAACACACCACACCCATGTAGAAGAAGAGAGGCGAAGAGAATAGTTCCAAATTCCACCCCACCTTGTTTCTCGTCCTGCGAAGTCCGTAGGAGAAGAGAGGCGAAGAGAATAGTTCTAAAACCACCCCATTGTTTCTCGTCCTGCAAAGCCTGCAGAAGAGAAGAGAATTATTCCAAATTCCACCCCCCCCCCTTGTTTCTTGTCGTCTTGCGAAAAGACACCACTGCTAGGTGTCACTTTTGTCCATGC